AAATGTAGATTTATATTTTAAATATTTTTATGAATGGTGAATATATTTTAATATAGATGTTTACCCACTAGGCACTGTGTGGATTAACCAGAAAAGGGGAGGAAGAGTTAACACAAACACAAACTTCCAAGCAAAAAAAATACAAATAATATTAATTATTACAGCAGGCAATGCCATTTTATGCAAAATATGTGGCAATGTAACATGTTATGTGCTTTTAGTTAATAGTAGTGTTTTATATTTATGATGTTTTGAATTTTGCGTTCTCTCAGTTTTTGCAAATGCAAGTTGCTCTGAGACATTTTATGCACTAAGAGAAGACTAAATGCAATAAATAATGATAAAGAAATAAATGTAGAACACTATAAATATGAGGGGTGAGGAATTCCAACCCGTTTGAGAACTGCCTCTACTTTTTTTGTTTTCAGGAAGGCCACGTCATGACACGATCCAAAGAAAAGCCATTTTGACAGACACTATTCGGTTCCCTCCAACTCCATTTTTCTTCCAGTAATTAAGTAAGCATTAGCAAAATTGCATTTGCATTTCATTTAGGGACCCTCTTTTTCCACAAAGGAAATTGCATGCAAGGCAGCTCACAGTATACAAGGTAAGCAGCTAAAGGAAATAAATCAGTGGCTTTTCGATAGCAATGTCTGTGCAAGCGGAAGGCAGATCGCACAGCTAGTTTTCCCCCTTCCCCTCCTCTCTCCTACACAACCTCCTGTAGCTTGTCACTAAAAACCTGCTCCAGATGGTCAGTCAGTAAGACGGTGGAAAGTTCAACCTTTGAAACTGGGCAAAGGGATCTTCTCCCTCTATAGCTGGCTTCCGCACACACTTGTGATCCAGTATGAAAGACAATAGAAGGGAGAACTGAGGGGAGAGAAACTTTCTGCAGGCAATGGCTTTTCCACCTGCCTTTCTGCCTGCCCTCCATCCAGCCTTTCCCAGACCATGACTTTGAGAAGAAGCTGAGAAGAGAGGAGTTCAGGGATATTTTTTAAAAAACAATTTTATAAGCTGTTTGGCCTTGTTTCTCAATTTTTACATGGTTTTGTATGCTTTGTGGTATTTAATAATAATAATAATAATAATAGTAATAATAATAATAATTTATTTATACCCCGCCCATCTGGCTGTCAGCATCGCCCTTGAACCAGTGCCACCAACTGGACTCATCCACTTCAGCCCCGACTGGGCTAGGCGAGCTGGGTAGCACTTCCAGAGACCACCTTCTGCACAGGAACAGGTCAAAGTGCTGTGGACTCACAGCTTAGAGTTGTGAGCACTGGATTCACTTCCACAAGAAGACAGTCGTCGCACAGCAGAGTACAGCAGACTCTAGCAGAGTATATAAACGACTCGGAGAGCAGCTCTGTAGAATATCTTCTTTTATTCTATCTACAACTATACAAACTATATACAGAGCTTAATAGGTCTAAGCATAAATGAATGCTACACTGCACTGAGTGTCTACAGCTGCTCTTAGCAGCAACCTTATCTCTACACACGATCTCTAACACTCAGTCTCTCTCTCTCTCCGACACTGACTGACTGACTGACTTGGTGCTGGAGCAGAATAAGTAGAGAGCAGAACACGCCTCCTCCTCTCTGGAGAATCAGCAGACTCCTCAGGAGATTCTTGGATATGGGAGGGGTGAAATCTCCTCACTGGCTGGGTTTCCCCAGCCACTCTGAGCGGCTTCCTACTGAATACAGTGGTACCTTGGGTTAAGTACTTAATTCGTTCCGGAGGTCTGTTCTTAACCTGAAACTGTTCTTAACCTGAAGCACCACTTTAGCTAATGGGGCCTACCGCTGCTGCCACGCCGCCGGAGCCCGATTTCTGTTCTTATCCTGAAGCAAAGTTCTTAACCCAAGGTACTATTTTTGGTTTAGCGGAGTCTGTAACCTGAAGCGTATGTAACCCGAGGTACCACTGTATTAAAAACAATACAGCATCAAACATTAAAAACTTCCCTAAACAGGGCCGCCTTCAGTTGTCTTTTAAAAGTAAATAGTTGCTTATTGCCTTGACATCTGATGGGAGGGCGTTCCACAGGGTGGGCGCCTCTACCGAGAAGGCCCTCTGCCTGGTTCCCTGTAACCTCACTTTTCGCAGCAAGGGAACCGCCAGAAGGCCCTCGGAGCTGGACCTCAGTGTCTGGGTGGAACAATGGGGGTGGAGATGCTCCTTCAGGTATCCTGGATCAAGGCCGTTTAGGGCTTTAAAGGTCAGCACCAACACTTTGAATTGTGCTTGGAAACGTACTGGGACCCAATGAAGATCTTTCAGGACCAGTGTTATATGGTCTCGGTTGCCACCCCCATTCACCAGTCTAGCTGCTGCATTCTGGATTAATTGCAGTTTCCGAGTCACCTTCAAAGGTAGCATTGTGATTTGCTGTTATTTTATTGATTATAATTCTTCCTTGTGTTCTACGAAGGGCAGGGTTCTTTCTGGATCTGGCGCCAATATCTAAACTGTCTAAACTGGAAGATCTGGGGCTTCCGTTATCACTTTGTGGGTGGATATTGGACTTTTTGTCAGACCGCCCCCAGAGGGTTCGGTTGGGCCCCTATACCTCTAATATGCTCAAGACTAACATAGGAACACCACAGGGATGCGTACTCAGTCCGCTCCTTTATATTCTCTACACGTACGATTGTGTCGCTACTCACCCTAGTAATAGGGGTTGTCAAATTTGCAGATGACACAACCGTGATTGGGCTCATCCCTGAAAGGGAGGGTGAAACGGATTATAGAGATGAGGTGGAGCGGCTGACAGAGTGGTGCAGAGCTAACAACTTGCTCATAAATACAAGGAAGACAAAGGAGCTTGTGGTGGACTTCAGAAGACAGAAGAGCAACGTCCAGCCACTTTTGATTGATGGGGTCTGTGTGGAGAGGGTAACAACGTTCAGATTTTTGGGCATTGAATTACAAGAGGATCTGTCCTGGAGTGTCAACACAAGGGGGCTTGTGAAGAAGGCGCAGCAGAGACTGTACTTTTTTGAGAATACTAAGGAAAAACCATCTTCCGCAGAAACTGCTGCTTGCCTTCTATCACTGTGCCATTGAGAGTGTGCTCACTTATGGCTTATGTGTGTGGTACGGAAGCTGTACTACCCAGGACAGGATGGGGTTGTGCAGGGTTGTTAAGGCAGCAGAGAGCATTGTTGGCTGCCCACTCTCCACCTTAGAGCAGATTTATGCCACAAGGTGCCATAGGAAGGCACTGGACATAGTAAAAGATCCATCGCATCCTGGTCACTGTCTCTTCGAGCTCTTGCCATCGGGACGGAGATACAGGACGATGAAGACAAGAACGAGCCGTCTTAAGAACAGCTTCTTCTCCAGAGCGATCTCGGCCCTGAATGGGAAGCCCGGACTTTGAAAGTCATCTAATCTCCCTTGCTGTATTATACTGTATTGATTAATTAGTGTTTTTATGGAGCAGTCAAGTAATTTCGTTGTCCCCAAAGGGGGCAATGACAATAAAGATATTATTCTTCTTCTTCTTCAATAAGCACACCAGTGGATGAAGAATGTAAACTGCTTAATTATTGTTTGCTGATATTTAATTTTATTGTTTACTATTGGATTATTGACTATTCTTTATTTGATATAAGTTGTTTATTTTTTAAGTTATTGTGACTTTTTGTATAGGATCTGTTTGCTACTATTAATGTTCGATTTATTATTATTATTGTGTGTTGGAAGCTGCCCAGAGTGGCTGGGGCAACCCAGCCAGATGGGCGGGTTATTAGTAACATTATTATTATTATTATTATTATTATTATTATTATTATTGATTTATGAACATATAACCTATTTGGCCCTTCTGGCAAGAAGCTTGGTCCTGAACTGTCTAGATTTGGTTCGGTGCAGCTGAACCATGACTGGAAACTGTTGATAAGGTTGGTTGACTGACTGATTGATTTCTAAACCATTTAATGTATTGACAACATCTATAAGCAGTGTACAAAAATAAGCAATGACAGACAACTTAAATATTCAGAAGCACACAATTACATATAAAAATGTTACATTAATACAAAGCTACTTATATATAAGGGACGCGGGTGGTGCTGTGGGTTAAACCACAGAGCCTAGGACTTGCCGATCAGAAGGTCGGAGGTTTGAATCCCTGCGATAGGGTGAGCTTCCGTTGCTCGGTCCCAGCTCCTGCCAACCTAGCAGTTCAAAAGCATGTCAAAGTGATGTAGATAACTAGGTACCGCTCCAGTGGGAAGGTAAACGGCGTTTCCATGCGCTGCTCTGGTTTGCCAGAAGCACCTTAGTCATGCTGGCCACATGACCCGGAAGCTGTACGCCAGCTTCCTCAGCCAATAAAGCGAGATGAGAGCCACAACCCCAGAGTCGGTCACGACTGGACCTAATGGTCATGGGTCCCTTTACCTTTACCTTTACTTATATATAAGTCAGTATCAACCCTTTTTTCTTCCTCTCAGCCTCTGAGTTCTCACCCAGGGTCTAAACAAATTCTCAGCTCTCCCACAAAAGTATCACAACTAGAAGAGTTAATGAAAACAGTGGACATCACTTTAGTCTCTTACTCTAGGTCCAGCTACAGTAGGTTTGTTCAGTTTCCCAGGAGGTCCAAAGGATGGGGAAAGTCCACTCCCAGCTCTTTCTTCACCCTCTGTCCTTTCCACCTCCTCTTCCAGCTGCTTAAGGTAAGACATAGCCCTCCTTACGCAAATTAATCCAGTGTTTCTCAAGCTTGGGTCTCCAGCTGTTTTGGGACTACAATTCCCATCATCTCTGACCACTGGTCTTGCTAGCTATGGATGATGGGAGTTGTAGTCCCAAAACAGCTGGACACTCGAGTTTGGGAAAATCTGGATTAATCCATGCTCATCAGTTGGCTGAAGCAAGACACAGCAGCAAGTTCAAATGTGAGGAACCTGTGACTCTCTAGATGTTGTTGGACTTCAAATCCCACAGCTGGCATGGCTAATGCGCCCATATGGAAAATCAAAAAAAGTTAGGGTTATTTTTGTTTCCCATGCTAATCTTCTCTGAATCGTTCCAGTTTTAGTATATTTGCTGCCAAAGCGAGCATGGTTGTTTTTGTTTCCCAATGGCAGTCAGTGGGAGGAGTCAAGATCCAGATTTCTAAATTTTGATTTGGAGTCCAATTCACATTCGATCAGGTCCATACTGATTCAAGGCAAACTGGGGCCCACTCCAAATTGCTGAATTGAGCCACAAACCAAATTTGGGGTGGGGTTGCATAGCACCCCCCCTTCCCATCCACTGCATATGAGGAGAACGATTCAGCACATAGGTGACTCCTACCATATTTGTACGTCCCCTAATTGATTCTGGGCAATTTGTGTTTCATAATATATATATATTTATTGGGCAGTTTAATCTACTTAGGATATGGAAAGGCTGGTAATTTTTTTAAAAGCCCCTGTATACTTCTCTCAATGCTTGTTTTGTGAGCAACTTTGAAAGGTTCACCCAGAAAACAAATAAGTTACACTGATTTTGAATAATTGCCTCTTTTGAACAATAGGCAATTTTACTACCTCATTTGCAGAATAGTGAGCAGCTTCTGTCCACTATGGGAAAACAATCAGAAACTTGGCTGCTGTATCAAATAGGCAATAAAATAGCGTATTTAGCAAATGAAATTAGAAAATTTCATTTACTTGCTTTGCAGAGTCAGCAGCAGTGGGCTTGCTTAAAGATGTGCTTAAAATATTTTGATGGAGATGTTATAAATCTCTAGGAAAATATCCTAAAGGAAACATAGGGCCATTCCTGTTAAATTGTCTTCAAAATATTCATCCCTCTTAAAGTAATATGCATGATTTATTTCACTCTCCTCTTCCATATAATGACCTTTAAGGAAATGTTGGCAATCCATTTTTTATTTTTTTTAGTGATTTTGATTTCAATGGTCTATCTGTTCACATTATTTCAGACATAATACAGGTATTTGCATAGTGATATTACCACTCTTGTTGTACAGAACACAGAGATGTAAGGGAAATAGCAGGGATTACCAAGATTTCATCAATATATTTTGAATGTAGCTCTTCTTGTCCTTCACTGTACAGGGCCTGGAGTCATAGTAAAGCTGTATCTTTACTAAAAAAAAAGTCAAATGCACTATTGTAGTCTGTTTCTGGGCATATTAATAGTGGGTATTAACCTTTAAAGTTCTAAATGGCTTAGAGCCAAGTTACCTGAAGAATCATTTCCTCCCACACATACCTACCTATGTCTTAAGAGCATCTGAAATCTTTCTCTGGATTCGCCCTTCAAATGAGGGGAGGTGGGTGACCACTAGGAAGGGTCATTGATCCATCTAAGGGACGCAGGTGGTGCTGTGGTCTAAACCACTGAGCCTCTTGGGCTTGCCGATTGGAAGGTCAGCGGTTTGAATCCCCACGATGGATTGAACTCCCATTGCTCTGTCTCCCAGCTCTTGCCTACCTAGCAGTTTGAAAGCACGCCAGTGCAAGTGGATAAATTGGTACCACTGTAGTGGGAAGGTAAACCGGCGTTTCCGTGCACTCTGGCTTCCGTCATGGTGTTCAGTTGCACCAGAAGTGGTTTAGTCATGCTGGCCACATGAGGCGGAAAGCTGTCTGTGGACAAACACCGGCTCCCTTGACCTGAAAGCAAGATGAGCGCCACAACCCCATAGTCGCCTTTGACTGGACTTAACCGTCCAGGGGTCCTTTACTTTTACCTTGATCCATCTAGCTCAATATTGTCCACACCGATGTGCAATGTTTCAGATAAGGGTTTCTCCTAAACCTACCTAGAGTTGCTGGGGAATCGAACCTGGTCTTTTCTGCATGCCCCGCAGATGATCTGCTATTGAGTTATGGCTCTTCCTTCTGAAGATGTGGGGACTGAAACTTCCCTATGTGCTTGATAGTTTCAGCATGCAAATGTTTTGCTACTGAGTTACTTCCCCTAAGAGAAATCCCTTGTAGTGCTGGTCCTGAAAAATGGATTCTGACTAGTTGCTTCCAATGATATCACCAGCAGCAAAGCAAAAGCAATTACAAACCTGAGGTCACGGAGAATGTTTTTCCCCCTGTGGACGTGAAGGCATCACACCAATGGCCCTTGCCAGACGGTATCCCATTTAAGCACGGACCAGACCTAGGCCTGCTTAGCTTCAAAAACACTGTTGTGTCATGTGTTTTGGAATAGCATTATGCTTATGCCATTATTTTGACACAGAGCGAATTATATTTCTTATGCTGGGATGAAAAGCAGAACAAGTTATGTAAGTCAAGGAGGAGTTTTAAAAAAGCATCTGGGTAGATAGTTCATAGACGTCAGGATTCATCTCTATCTTATTTCATATGCTGGTGGCTTTCAAAATAGCCTTAAAAATAGAATGGGATTGCTCTGAGGTGGCAGAGTTCTCAAGGGAATAGGAAGAGCTGCAAAATTATGGCTTCTCTTTCTGACTACCACAAAGCCTATACATTCCGCTTTGTGATCTCTCAGCCCCTGATTTAAATATGCCATGTTTCCTATCTTAAATATTATGGTTAATCATAGATATAATATTTGCTTTCCTGGTATGGGGCAGTGAAATAATTTGCTTCCCTTCATTACTCAAAATTTCTGCTACCTGCCCCACAAATGTGATTTCACCATTTCAGATGTGGGAAGCTGCTAATGAAGGCCAAATTTAAATGTTAGTCCTCATCTGGAGGTCAGCAAAAGAACTTCATGCTGACTGGTAATGACATGGATTTTCTGTGCATTACTGAGCTGATACATATATCAAGGTGCTTTCAAATGTTAGGCAGGCATGTAGGAGCTGTAATATTCATTGACTATGACTTACCTCTAAGTCCACAAAATTGTCTTCTCTTCCTCAAGTTGAAATGCATTTAGGTTTTCTTTCCTTGCAATAAAAGAGGAGGGAGGGGAGCTGGCAAAAGTGAAATTTAATGTGAGAAGAGTGCAACTACTTGTACATGAGTGCAGAACTTCTGGAGTTTATGAGGGTGGGGGACAGAACTCTGAAGAATGACAACTCTAACAACTCACTTTTTTGTTTGTTAAAGGCACCCTCAAAAACAAAAAACAAAACAAAAACATGAGTACAAAAATTGTGATTTACTAAGAATGGAGGCCAAGCAACGAATAATTCCCCTGATGCCTTCCAGCTGTTTTGGACGACAACTCCCATCAGCTCCAGTCAGCATGGCCGAAACATCTGGAGAGCAGAAGGCTCAGTGAAGGCCACCTTATGCTCTGTCGCTCTGCAATTACTTCATCAGTGTTGATCTGAGTGGAGAGCTTGAGGTTTTATTGAGGAGAGTGCGGGGAAGAAGCCCGAGCTGGTGATTTAAATATAAGTAGATAGCAAATGAGGGTGACAAAGCAAAGTGACTGACTGTGCCCTACCTTTGGTGCAGTCACTTCAAATCTACATGATGGAGATCCACGGTCTGCTTGAACAGTGCTTGCGACATGACAGGTAGACAGTGAGGGAAGGAGGGCTGGCGCCATCAGGAACACTTAAAGAGCGCAAACTGCCAATGCACTGTCAACCGCTGGAAGCAATTACAGTCTAGTGCTAAGTAGATCTCAGATTATGAGTGATTAAACATTCAAGCATTCATAGAATCATAGAATCATAGAATCATTCCCTGGCCCAAAGAGCCCTGCAGGGACTGTTTTGGCTCATGCCAAAATGTTGGTGTCTTAGAGGACCCAGGTCACATATTTTAACCTCAACATACTAGAACCTCTAGCTGCAGCACGGTAGTGTATCAAGTTGTTCTTGGTAAATGGCAGCTCTCATTTCAAACAGCTGAAAAGTTACTAGTCAGATAGGACTGCCATATGCCTGGATTTTCCCAGACATGACTGGGATTTCAAATGTGGAATTGACATCTGGCGGGAGTTTCCAAAAGGCAGTGCTTTGTCTTGGATCTTAGACAAGTCAATCGAAAAATTGCATTTTTGTAGAAGCAAGCTCCACAACTTGGGGCGGGGGCGCTCTGGTTTTTGCTTTTTTAAATATGGCAATGCTAAATCAGAAGAATCTCTAGCTAGTTTAAAAAGGTAAAGGACCCCTGACAGTTAAGTCCAGTCGCAGACGACTCTGGGATTGTGGTGCTCATCTCGCTTTAGTGACCAAGGGAGCTGGCGTTTGTCCACAGACAGTTTTTCTGTGTTGTGTGGCCAGTAGGACTAAGCCGCTTCTGGCACAATGGAACACGAAACCAGAGCAGTGCACGGAAACGCCGTTTACCTTCCTGACAGAGTGGTACCTATTTATCTACTTGCACTTTTGGCGTGCTTTCGAACTGCTAGGTTGGCAGGAGCTGGGACTGAGCAACGGGAACTCACCCCGTAGCAGGGATTCAAACTGCTGACCTTCTGATCGGCAAGAAGAAGAAGAAGAAGAAGAAGAAGAAGAGTTTGGATTTGATATCCCGCCTTTCACTCCCCTTCAGGAGTCTCAAAGCGGCTAACATTCTCCTTTCCCTTCCTCCCCCACAACAAACACTCTGTGAGGTGAGTGGGGCTGAGAGACTTCAAAGAAGTGTGACTGGCCCAAGGTCACCCACACTGGCTCTAGGTTGGCAGGTTGGCTCTAGGTTGGCAGGAGCTGGGACTGAGCAACGGGAACTCACCCCGTAGCAGGGATTCAAACCGCTGACCTTCTGATCGGCAAGCCCAAGAGGCTCAGTGGTTTAGACCACAGCACCACCCACGTCCCTTACACAAGCTTATAGCTAGCTTAAATATTGTCGGTAGTTAAGCACAGCGTGAGACGTAGGAAAGAATTTTGATTTGCGTGCTGTCACTTTCACTTGATTACCCTTAGCTCCAGCCCCATGTTTAGGCCTTTCAGAATTAGCATGAAACTATTGTTGAATAAGGCAATTCACCTTGCTCAGGGATGTGTGATTACCAGTTGCTTTTCTATTAAAAGCTTCCCTTTTGACGTGGGGCTGACGGTTCCCTATTCTTGCCTCAGTACTTCTTCTGTTGTGCTGGTAATGTTTTCCGACATGCCACCTCTCTTCTAAACAATCAGGTTCCTTCCCCCCACCCCT